AACGGTCAGATAAGTCGCGGTAGTGTCGCGGCCTATCTACGGTAGTGCCGCACTAAACCAAACAACAAAGGTGCAAGGAGGTTATGAGCTAGCTGTCTTGGATGAGCTTTGAGGATGCTTTTGTGAAAGATTGAGCACTTGGTTGCATATGTTGACTTAAATATTATGTCCTCCTTTATAGTACGGCTCTTCCTATACTCAAATTCAAAATATAAAATGAAATAAACCTCCTTTTGAGGTTGATGTTGTCACCTTTTGTAATTGGGGGCTCCTCCATTATATATAACATCTTATCTTATGATTCTCCTGCTTATCATCTCGATAAATCTTATTAGTTCTCTAATTACGTGGTTATTATCATCAAAACCCACAATTAGGGCTTGATTGCACTTTCAATTATATGCAAACCTTACCGGCAATTGGAACATGGCCTTTTTGAAGAAGGGGAAATCCACTTTACTATATACAGAGTATTGGTGAATGGGCAAGAAGTAGCCAGATATCAATGACTTATCACTAATTTGTTCTTGGGAATCTCTTTTGAACATAATAATAATATAAAAACTGTTCCGGTACTCCTCTTTCTAAAAATTACACACATCTTAAAACAACATGTCCAATTACTTTAATTTATTTATTTATTATCCATCTAGGCCCTGCCCGGCGCTTCCAAGCCTAGACCGTACCTAGCCCAAATCTAGTACATCTACAGATTCCTTTGTCCAGGGATTGCGGAGCTCTTCATGGTGGCGCAGCTCCACGCTGAGCTACGCCGGACTCAGATTGGGTAAGGTTTCTTGGGCAAGTCATGGCGTAACTTGCGGCCCTGTATCCAGTGTCAAAGCACCATCCGACGGCTGCCAGCGTTTCCAGGAGACTTTTCACTTTTCCTCCGTGAAGATACGGCTCATTCACGCGCGCAGCGCTAGTTTCCCGCGGGCTGCGCCGACGACGCCCGCTTCCCGTCGACCAGAGGAACTGAGCAATCCCCCGCCCGCCGCCCAGAGGAACCGAGTCACCGAACTGCACAGCACCGACGCCGGGGCCGTGCGCCGCGCTGGTTTCCTGTGGCCTGCGCAAGTCGATTTGGATCTCCATCTATGTACCTCTCATTTGTTTGGAGCCATTCTGTTTCGTGCGAGGAGATGGTTGTCAGCCGTCGTTTACTGCCCGTGTGCAGGGACACCACGACTGCTGGGTTGTGGACGCCGCCGCCGAGGCAGCACCATCTAAAATCCGCGGCCGCCGCGTCGTGACATGCCGAGAAAAGGAAAAAAAAAACTCCGAACGAACAGGATCGGGAGGACAAAAACAAATGACAGGATTTGGGGTGGGCACTATAAGGGCTTGGAAGGACCAGGTGCATGCGGGATGCAGATGGGTAATAATTAAGAGATTTAATTAATTTAATGAAATATTTTGACATACGTGTAATTTTTAAAAAGAGGAGTATCGGAGCAATTGCCTAATAATATTTGGATGATAGTTAAGAGCAACTCCAACAGCTTGGGTATTCTTGTTGCGGAGACTATTTTTAAATTTATATAGCAAAAATTAGGCTCCAACAGATGTGCTATTTGACATTGTAAAATAGAAAGCTGGCTATCCCTTGATTTTCGGTGGCCATATATAGCCAACCATGAGTGCTCGCTATCAACCTTTGTAAAATAGCAAGGCTATTGTGGATCTCTTCTTTTTTAACGACTTTTCTATTTTACAAAATGGTTAAACAATGGAATTTGGCTACTAATTTTAGCCCAGGTGTTGGAGTTGCTCTAAGGTCAGTCTCAGTGGAGGTTTCATGGTTCAGTTTTCAACACACTCATATTTTGAAAACACTGCAGAAAAGTTTCATCTCCATGAAACTATCTCTACTCCTATGAACCTTTCATCATCTCTCTCTTAATCAATACAGTACCATATCGGCGTATTTAATGACCATAAAACTCTATAAAATCTCCATTGAAATTAGCCTAATGAAACGAAAAAAGATGAGAGGAGGTACCGAGACACCGAGGAATGGGGAGAGGAGGAAGGAGTGGTCGGCTACAAAGAACTAGTTTGAACGAGGAAGGATGCATGTGCTCGCGAATAACGTGTCGTAAGAGAAAGGGACTGCTGGGCTGATATCCAAAATTTGTCATGCCAAAAATCTGGCAAGCCAAAAGTTAGGCAAAAACGTTGCCATAGATTTGGCAAGCCAATTATGAGAGTTTAACAAATAGTGAACCAAATACTAGCCAAAATAATGGCTTGCCAAATAATTGACATGGCAAATTTTGAAAGCGAACCCATAAAGCTCAAAGATACCTACGGCCACGAGCTCGCTAGTTGCTATCATAGTACCATCAGCTGGGGTTTGAGGAGAGGGATATTTCAAAGGCTAGTCCAGTCGCTAAGGGTCTATATCTTTTTATATAAAGACAGGACATCAGCTGTGTATCACTATACTATGGCATAATAATATTTTTTCAGTATAATGCTTCAGAAACTATTTATTTTTTTGCCCACAAAAAGATGCAAAATGCCTCATATTAAATATAGAATTAATAAAAATTACACTTTCGCTATATTATGTCCGAGTGAATTTTTTTCCGATGGCACCAAATTTCTGACTGATGTTGGACCTCATTTGAGATGTATGTAGGTGCATGGTGTTTAAATTTAAGAAATTTGGAGGTTCACAATGCATGGTTTCATGACACAGTTTCATAGACTAACCACGACATTTAATTACTATATATTGCTACAGTCAAATGTGGCATACAAATAGGTTGCCGACAATTTAAGATCTGCAACAGCTATTCAAAGAAATTACTGAACCGAGAAGACTACTCATGTTCAGAAAAAGATCTGCAGCAACTGCATATTCGCAAAAACAAGTAGTCCTGAAAAAAACAAGAAGCATATTCACTTCGGACTTGGCCACAAAAGAAGAGTCCAACGTAGATTAAGCAAGGAACTGAACAACACAACAAATCAGAACATTGGATCGGCTGGTAGCCATCGTGGGTCCTCACAAAGAGGCTTGCTGCGGCTCGGCTGCTGGCTGGAATGGAATCTGTCCCCGCCACCATGGCCACCGCCGCTGAATCTCTGCTGATGGAATGGAAGATGCACTTTGAGTCGAGAAAAGATTAAAGCGGCGAGCGCATGAATGTGGTGCGGGAGAGACTCCGAGCATGCGAGCAGGTTGGGCAATCGCACGGTCACCGCTTCGCACGAGATCTCCCAGATGAAACCATGTGCGCTCAACGAGATCTCCGAGCATGCGGCACTGGGGTAGAAGTCGGCGGGGGCGGCGACACCGGTGAGGAAGCTGGAGGCGGCGATGGCGTAGGCGAGGACACCGTCTTGAGTCCCAGCTGGCTGCCCCCGCGCCCTTTCCCTCCTCGACTGTATGCGCGCCTCCCGAAACCCTCAGACGACGGTGGATGGCGCTGGATCTCTGCCCCAGCTGCACGGGAGCAGGAAGAAAAGAACGGCGCGAGCAGGAAGGAATGGCGCGAGGATTGGGGCGGGGCGAGGGAGGCATGGCGAAGGGGGCAAGATGGATCGGGGCGGGCGCGGGAAGGATGGCCAGGAGCGCGCACAGGATCGACGACGATGAAACTTTCCCCTCAACACTGGTTTCATGCGGCTTCCAAGAAATTGGAAACGGTGCACGCTCGTTTGGTGGGGATGAAACGTTCCCCTCTATCTCCTCCCCAAGATTCCATTTTTAGCCCCCCTTTGGCAGGGCTTTTGCCGCGGCTCCTCGAGCGGCTTCGGGCGAAGCCCTGCCAAACGGCGACAAGCAAAACGGCTTGCGGTAAGAAGCCGATAAGAGCCCCGTAAAACCCGGTGACTCAGTTCCTCCCCACGCGAGAAGCCAAAAATACTGGCTTATCCCGGCTCGAGCTCGTCACTTTCCATCCCCGTCCCGGCTTGCTCTCCTCGACGACGCATGTACGTCGACGGCGCCTCCTCCTCGCGCCCCCGTCGGCCTTGAGCTCCTCCCTCACGGGCTCTCCATGCTCCACTCCGTCGGCCTCGAGCTCCGCCCCACACCCGGCTTCTCCCTGCTCGCTCCACCCCACCACGGCCTCTCCTCTCACTCCACCCACGGGTCTCGGCTCCACCCCACCACCCTCCTTGCTCACGGGGCCGACCACCCGAGCTCCTAGCTCTCCCTCCTCTGCTGCCTCGAGAGAGAGAGAGAGAGAGATGGATGGAGTGGGCCTCGAAACTCAGCCCACCTCATCCTCCTCCGAGCCTTGAGAGAGAGAGAGATGGATGGAGTGAGGCCATTCGGATAAGGAGAAGAAAATAAGGAGAAGGAAGAAAAAAAAAAAAAAAAAAAAAAAAAGAAAAAAAAAAAAAAAAAATATAAGGGTATTTTAGACATTTCACATCTTCTTTACACTTGGGAGAGCCCATTTTCTTAAAACGTTTTAAATCAAAAATAAGTCGAGTCGTAAAAAATCGCTTTTTATATACAAGCCAAAGTTAGAGTTATTTTTTCACGAGCCAGAGCCATGCAAAACGGGCCCTTGCTATGCAAGAGTGCCTGTAATATTTCTGGACGCGTGGAGTCGACGGTTCAACTGGTTGGACAAACAAACCGCGAACGGAGACGTCAAACTCGTCAGGGTCAGGGAAGACTAGCAGAGTGGGGCAAGACCGAAAGCGAGGCGCACGGGCGGGACCCGCGGCCCTCAACTCCGTGGCTCCCTCCGCGCCACGCCACGTCGTTCCGGTGGCCACGTTGCCGCGCCGACCGCCGACGCTTCTCCACCTCCCTCTCCCGGTCTCCCCCAACACCACTCACCAACCCGGAACCCGCGGTCCCGGCGGCAGCACAACTGCAGAAGCTTCCCAAATCCTCTCCCCTCTGCCCCCCTCTCGCGCCTCGCGCCTCCCACCTCTCTCCAGCCGGTTCCCGCGCCTCGCCGCGCTTTACCTTTGCGGCGCACTCCCGGTATCATATTACCCGCGCCTCCGCCCGCTCCGGTGAGATTATGGGGCTCGAGATGGAGGTCATGTCTGAGGCTGCTCCTGCGGCGGCGAGGGAGCACGGGTTGGATATTTACCCGCTCACCCGCTACTACTTCGGCGCCAGGGACGCCGCCGCCGGCGTGCCCCGCGGCCTGGAGACCGCCGCTGACCGCGCGCTACGGCTCAAGGCAAAGTGAGTGCCCCGCCTCGCCCGCTCTCTGTCTTCGCAACGCAATTGGCGGACCCTGATTTCGCTGAATCGAGTAAACCGCTGGATAAGTGATCATAATTAATTACTGAAAAAGATTATAATCCTCGCTGCCTATGCAGCTTCGCGGCGCACGGGCTCCGCACCAGCGTCCACGGCGTCCTCCTGGTACCTCCAATCTCTGCCTCTGCAACTCTGATTAGCTCTGAGCGATTTCACAGGCCTCGATCGTTCTTAGCACCTGCATGATTTTCATATTGCCGTACACCAGCAGCAACAGCAAGCGCCCATCGTTCTGAATTTTGGCCGCTTGTTTGGTTGCAGGTGGAGCTGTTCGATCACCCGCACCTGCTGCTGCTGCAGGTCCGGAACTCCTCCTTCCTGCTCCCCGGAGGCCGCCTCAGGCCTGGCGAGGAAGGTAGGCGTCGTTCATACAGTTGCGTGTACCTTTTTGGCATGTATTCGCAGTTTGCAAGAATTTGTCTACTGTACCCTGAAATTTCCTGCACTGGAGGCTGACAGGTTTGTTCTTGTCTTGTTCGTATGCTGATGATTGCTTTCAGAGGTCCAAGGGCTCAAGCGCAAACTCTCCAGCAAGCTCTCCTTTGTCGATGATGACCAGGCCATTGAAGAAGAGGATGACTGGCAGGTAACCAACCATGCCGTATGTACAGAAATGCTACCAATTGTTCAGTGATATATCAACTACTACTATAGATCTTATGCCAAGTTTGGATGGTTGAAATGGTACACCCTTTTTACATACACGTTGATGGTTTGACTAGATTGGAGAGTGCATCGGAATGTGGTGGAGATCTGAATTTGAGGCCATCCCATTTCCATACATGCCTCCAAGCTTCCGTGCACCAAAGGTACAAAATTCTGGCACATCTAGAACTAATCTACTAGTTAATTTTAATTTCGTCAGCATTGTGCCGACCTGAGTGTGTGAGTCCTGTTTTGCCCTGAAGGAATGCATCAAGCTGTTCCTGATCAGGCTGCCGATGTCTCGGCAGTTCATCGTGCCCAGGAACATGAAGCTCCTGGCCGTGCCTTTGTCCCAGATTCATGGCAATGCTCAGGTATGTAGGATTCTGCGCCACGGCCAAAAGGTTTTATATATAGTTCAGCGCCAAACTTCCTCTCTAACGTTCAAATGATCGCCATCTGCAGGTTTACGGTCCAATTATATCTGGCATTCCGAATCTACTGTCCAAGTTCTCCTTCAACGTCATCAGTGACTGAAATGTGGAAACCAGAATTTTGAGGGTTTAGTAGACACACATGCATATTTGGCTAATCTCGTAGTCATACAGCAGTATTCGATACCGATGGAAGCATGTATTGATTGAGAAGTAGCTCATCCGTTATGTTTGTATAACGTATTTCCCCTCCTCTGGCTGATATATTGAGATGTAATGTATGTGTTCCTTGCGACATGTGTTTGACCGTGAGAGACGTACGATTCAGTTCTGTACAATATCTCATGTAGCTATGTTGCTTACCGACAGCTTATCCCTTATGTTGTATAGTTTTTTTTTATTTTATTTGTATGGCTTGTAACCTTGTTGTATATTGATATGTATTGTAGTGTTTTTACCGATATTTTTTGCCATATAAAGGTTAATTGTATTACTGGGTCTTACAATCTGGACATAGCAGTATAGCACACAACTCATTGAAAGTTGAAACAAACGTCAAGGCTTCTCTAGTTCTCTTTCACAACACAGGTCAGTTACAAGCTATACCACCACGAGTACTCTTATCTTCAGATGATCACTATCTGTAGCAAGACACCTTTACCACCTTGTGCTGCAGAAGCTCGTTCACTGTCTGACCAATGTTGGGTTGGTTCTCTTGAGCTGAACCACACCCTCTCAAGGCTCTGCTTCAGTGCACCCAGAAACAACGACTAGATCCGATTGACAAAGAACTTGGACAAACTTCAGAAGGTTTAACGACTAACAAAGGACTCAAGAGAACTTCAGCAGCTTTTTTCTTGTAATGTGAACTGATCATGCAGAATAGAAATGTATAACACGATAACACTACTGCTAGCTTATTTACAGGGTAGGATGAAATGCCAAGATAACATGTTCTCCAGTGTATCTGTGAAACTAGTGGAGTCACGATGAAGTTTGAATAGTGGTATGAGTGAGCTCGATGGCCAACCATTCAACCCGTGATCCCAGCTTTACTTCTGTGGGAAGTTTCACTACCGTAGTGCAGTTCGGCTTGCCCAGGAATCCTCTGTAACTTGTACTTAAACACCTTGGAGCCTGGTTGGCCTTCTCTCCAGCAATCCACAACATTATATAGCCCATCATATGTGAACATTGGGGTTTCTCCGTTCAGACCATTAAATCTGTGAATCACTCGGACAGGAGTTTTCGTTCGGATGCAATTCTTCAAGGCTAGGTTACCCTTCTCAAGCTTTTGATCCCCCACCCCCTTCTTACCAGAAATCTTTCCTCCAGAACCGGTGTATACCAATTCACCAGACCTCGATAGCTGATCAGGATAACCTCCAGAAGCAACGACACTAATTGCGATAAGCACATTATATCTATCTCTTGTGGTGTCTATGCCTCCCTGGTATGGGCGGTGGAGACCAACAATGTTCAACTCAACTCTGTAGAGAAATTCATCACCAACTTCAATTCCAAGCACGTTTCCAACAATAGGCCCATGCTGGGTAAATCCTGACGTTTTCTTGATTAGATCAGCAGCTGCAAGGTCAGTTCTAGGTAACTTCAATGACTGTTGTTTCACAGCTCGTATTATAGCCCTGCGTATAAACTCGAACCTCCCGTGCATCATCTTGACCTTGCTCCTAGCATCCACATTCTGGGCACCATATTTTTCTTCATGAGCAGCTAGTGCCTTCAGAATGTCATCTTCCACGTTAGATGGCAGCATAGATTTCTGTTTTACATTTCCCTTCTTCTTGGGACCAAAGGAGTTCCTACTTGTGGCAGCAGCCTCTCTATATGTCCGGAGGCACTTCTTCCCAGATGTGGGAGCCTGATGTTCAAACCCAGCAGTGTCCTCAGATCCATTCGTGGTCACACACTTTCCATGTTCAGTCTCCTTCACCTTGATCTTGGAAAATTTCTGAATCAGTTTGGCAGGCCTGGCTTCTTTTTGAGCTGCTGACATGACCTTATCTCTCCTCATAGCACCTTGGCCAGACGCTCCTGGTGCAACACCAGAAAATGCTCTGCCCATCTTAACACTGACCAGATGTTCTTTGGAAGGACCTTCAGACAATGATTGAGCAAGAGCATTGGAGGAACTCCCAGCAGATTTGATCACCACCTCGATATCTTTCGCAACCACACATGATGTTCTCTTCTCCTGACTTTGCAAACTGATTGCAGGAACAGAAGGCCCATCTCTACAAGCTGAAGACTCATGCAGAGTAACATTGGTACAACTTTGAGATCCTTGAGGCTGTACCTTGGGTGCGGCAGTCTCCCCTTCCACGAATTTCTCCTTCTGTGCTGCTCGATCAGTAATAGTTGCATTGCATGGAACATCTACAATCTGCATGGCCTGTTTGTCTGCTGCAGAAGTAGAGCAATCTGTAGCCACCACCTTCTCCGGCAATGGCAAGCCGACTTCAGTGCTGCCTTCTCCAGCAACTAGAGACGCTCTGGCCCTCCCGCAACCAGGTGGGAAACGGCGAACGGCAGAAACCATCCTTGGTTTGGGTAGCAAACGGCGCGTGGCTGGCACCAACTCCTTCCTCACAAATCCAGCACTCCCAGCATCACCCTGTGAATCGGTGTCCAGCAAATCATCTGCACTAGGCACACAACTCTGGCGTAAAGGCTCGGATGATCTCTGCAGCTCAGCCTCCAGACCGTGATGACCATTGTCAGCAATTGGAGCGGAAACAACCTCAGCAGACGACTCCACCTGCATGACGCTCGAACCAGCCTTGGCGTCCAAAAGAGCAGGAGCTGTCTTCTTCAGTGCATCAGAAGCACCGTCGATTTGTGCAACAACGAGCCTCGAATCGTCGTCCCCGGCAGCGAGCGGAGCGGCGGCGGCCCTCCCGTAGCCAGGCGGGAAACGGCGCGTGGCCGACACTAGCCTCCGCTTGGGGGGTGGCGGGTACGCGGCCAAGCCCAGGCCCCTCTTCCTCCCCGCGTCGCCGCCTCCCATCTCCTCCGCCGAGTCGAGACACCTCTTGCCGCCCAACTCGGCGCCCCCCTTTCCCTTGTCCTCCCGCGCCACCCCAGGCGAGGCTGCGGCGTCGCCCGCAGCAACAGCCGCCGCGTCCGCGGCCACCGGCGCCGCCTCGCGCGTCGCCACGCCGCTGCCGAGCCGCGTGTCCCGAGTACCCCGCACCTCGTCCGCCTTCCCCACGCCGCCGCTGCGGGTCTCGCCTCTTGAAGGCGGAGGGCGAGGAGGAAGGCAGCGGCCGCGGTCCCCGACGCCGAGCTGCTGCTGGGGCCGGGGCTGCCCCTGCGAGGCGGAGGTCGGCGCCACCCGGTGGTGCGCTGCATCGAGCCTCGCCGCGTGCAAGTTCATCCCGGACCCCTGATCGGTCGGTCGCCCCCGCCTGCGACGCGAGCACAAAACCACAGCCAAAACCCCCATTAATCAAGCCACTATTCTCCAAACAAAAACCGCCACGGCGGGGCAAAAGACAGAATGGAAGCAGAAGCAGGAGACGAGCGGGCGGAACCACGGAGGCGAGCACTGACCTTTCGTCTTCGGAGCCGGCGACGGCGACGGCGAGGTGGCGGGCGTGCGAGGCGACGAGCACGTGGGAGCCTCTGGGAGGAGAGGAGAAAAGGTGCGCTGCTGCTGCCGTGCTGGCTACCGCCTGGCCTGGCCTGGTCTGGTCAAGTCTGATGGGACGTGGTTTCAAAAAAAAAAAAGAGCCAGAGCCACGGCTCTCATGTCGGACTCGCACTCGCACGGACTGCGCCAGCTCGCGTCGGCTCCCCGCTCGGAGCAACGCAACGGCTAGAGCTGATCTCAGCTGGAGCTTGACTCGACGATCCATTCATTTTTTTTCCTACACTATACCAAAAAAACTAGGATGTGCTTGATTGCTACCTCTAGGTTGTCATCAAGACAATTTTTTATCCATTCACAAATCTTGACGTCCATTTGGCTGTACGCCAAATTTTAGTCTACCTAGCTAAATTTGGCTAGCCAAGCTGCCAAAAAATTAAGGGCTTGTTTGAATTAGAGGATTTTTAAAAGAATTTTAAAGAAATCTAATTTCTATGCTTTGCTTACATTACATGGTGTTTAGAACAGAGAAATGAAGCTTTACTTTTCTATGGAAAGACTTTTTTCCTTCATGTAATTGAGAAAAATAAAACATCCACCTCAACCTCTTTGAAAATTTTCCTACATGTGTACGGAGGGATGAGCAAATCCTTGCTCACTAGAATGGAGGAATAAACATGTTCTGTTCCAAATACCTATAAAATTTTTGATCCTCTGTTTTCTACCTGCACTTATATCATATTCCTGTGTTTTCTTTCTTTCATCTGTTTTCCATTCCTTGGCTCCAAGCTCGAGCTGTCCAAGTGTTGTAGCCAAATCAGGTTACTAGTACATGGCATAAGCACATAGGGCAATGAATATGCATTTAATAGTACTTGATAACCAAGGTTTAAACCCATGAAGCCAGTTCCAATGGTAGTTTTATTCTCATTTAATGACACCTGGCACCAAACATAAGATGATAATAACATGACATAGATATATTATGAGAAGAGAGAAGATGAGTTTCATCCAGATAAAACTTAGTTTGTACAACCAACACATTGGAAACTAAGTGAAACACGGCTGTGGGCATTTCATTTCATAACACTATGCAACATTGTAAATGCATATGTCCATGAAACTGTGAAATGAAATTATAAATTGCAAGTCTTGTTTCATTTCATCACCTACATAATTACTCTTTGAAATAGTGTAATGAAATCTAGTACCGGGAACTCTGAAGTTGTGATTGCAAATTAACGTATCAAGACACGTGTGTCAAGTCTTGTTTTATTTTTGCCCTCCATGCCATTCCGTCCACATTCCGTTGGCTTTTCACGTTTTGGCAACCCTGATATATGGGACCGACTAGTGAAAATATCCAAAACGACATTCACACGAAGCTGAAAATTTGGTGTGGGCGTATAGTTACAGTCCAAACATCACCATTCTAGTTAGTCTATTTCGGATTTACCTAGTTTGGTCATGGGAAAAATTCGCTACAAAACCCTTACATCTATTTTATAGTTGCAACGGTACTTAGTGTTTGTTTGTGACCGCTTTGCTCTATGGTTTTTTTTAGCTCTGCTTCACATTTTTTAGCTAAATAGGTGCAGCTCCATAAACTTTGCTTTAAAAAAAAAGATGAAGTTACAAGAGCACTAAAAACTCTAGTTTTTTTTAGAGCTACTTTAAAGTGGAATTTATAGAGTCCTGGTACCAAACAGACACTTAGTTAACTTTGGGAGGTGAGTTATCGGCCAGTGATCATTGACGCAGCGATAGAGGAGGGACCTTGCCTCTGCTGCATTTGCACTTGCCCTTGTCTAGCCGTCTAGGGATGAAGCGTGCTGCGTGCATGTTAGAGCAAACCTGTGCAAGCCGCACGTGGAGAAACTATTGAACGCGAAGACCTGTGCAAGCCGCCATGTTTGTTTGGGCTTATAAGTCATGGCTGAAAATGATTAGTTGGTTTGGTGTGAAAGAAAAATATTATTCATTAACTGATATAAGTCATGATTTATAAGTCAAATACGACCCAGCGAACATCCTGACGGTGGCTGAACGGCGTACAAAATCATCACAACCACCAAACTCGCGAGTACCCCCAAATTAAATAGACCGGGCCGGATACACACCGTTGAGGCCCCGCAGGCAGATTCCAAAAAAATTTAGTGTACAATTGTTGCAGCGGTGCAGATTATTACGATATCGAATCTTACGCACATGCATAGAGTACTAGATATAGACGAAAAAAATGCTTCAATGCTGAACACTTAAAGCCCTACAACGTGAGAAATCGCGAGACGAAACTTTTGAACCTAATTAGTCCATAATTAGACACTAATTGACAAATATAAACGAAAGTGCTACAATAGCCAAAATCCAAAAAATTTTGGATCTAAATGGGGCTGAATCGAGCAGGCACGAGTCTTAGAAGTGGTTGCATGGGTTACTGTACAATTGTTGCAGCCGTGCAGGCGAGTACATGAACATGATTGTTGCCTACGTCCCACCAAAATACTATAAGCATAGACACTAAGACTGCCCACAGCGTGATCGATGCTCAAACAAAAGATTCCTATACCATCTTCATCAATGCTGGGAACACTTAAAAGCCTACAGCGTCAGTATCGATGTCCATGCGAATGTAGGGCTGGTTTGTCAGAATGTCACTGTCTCTATCTGCTTTAGTGACTGGCTGTGAAATTATTTCTTTATTCAGCAAGCACCGGTGAACCTACATGCCACGGTGCTTGATCTTTTCAACTTGGCATCGCACTCTACAATAGCATGAGCCGGTGCCTCATCCTTCTCTCTCCTAATTCAGCACCGGTGAAACCCAACGCTGTGGGCAGTCTAACGTGTGGACAGTTCAACAGACAATGAATCCTCTATTTGTCGCGACGATAATGCTGCCACCCAAGCGTGTTCCGTCCGAACGGCTCGTTCCCAGGTCTGTCCAACAATCGAGCCCAACATGTCTCCTCCCTTCCACCTTCATTATGGCGTGGTTTCTCAAAAAATGAAAAACACAGCGATATTTTCTTTTTCCACTGTCGCATGCATGCAACTGCCGCGGGAGCATCCACCACGCCGCCCGCCCGCCGCTGGCCTTCTCCAATGCGGCGCGCACCTTCCCCACGTCCGGCGCGCCACGTCCATCCGCGTGCCATCGCTTCGCTCGCCGCTAGGTCTCAGCTGTCGGCGCGATCGCCGCCGCGCCCGACCGCGACGAGACATTTAAAATTCTCCTACGTAATATTTAGGATGTGTTCGGATACTAGTATCTCTAAACAGTCAAGCCAATTTTTATTTGTGTCATGGTGGTGGTGGTGGTGGTGGTGGTGTTTCGCTGCTATTGTAAAAAAAAAGCATTATGCCAACTAAACGGATGAAACCTGAAACTGCTTTCTTAGGGCTAAAAAATTGCCCATGCCTGCTTTTGCTCCTCTGCTTTATGTTTTCAAATGCGCATGTTTCAAGTGTTTCAGATGTTTCGTATGTATGTTTCTGTGTTTCATGCGGATGTTGCAAAAGTAGATTGTGATATTGCATATGTTGCAATGATTGTACATGTATATTGCAGGTGTCTGTTCCTAATGTTTCATCTATTTTTTCCAGACGTTTGTTGCAAGTGTGTTTATATGTTGCAAGTATTTTTATCTGGATGTTGCATATGTTTGCAAGTATTTTTCATGTGTTTTTGCATATGTTTCAGACGCATGTTTTGAACATTTTAGCTGTTTCATATTAATGTTGCAATTGTTATATTTGATGTTTTAAAAGTAGATCGATGTGCTGTGCATGTTGCAATGTAAGCCACCTACTATAGCTGCTCGTGGTGGTGGGGCGCGGAAGCAGAGAAGCGTTGGGGAGTGGCATGGGCGGGCCCCGCCTGTGCATGTAGTAGGCGCGGCGACTGGATATGGAGGGTCCATCCGGACGTCCAGGCGCTAGTTCTGCTCGTTGACGTAAACTGTATATATTATAATTTATAATACATGCAGCCATGATGATTAAATAAGAATAAGATCCATATATATATATAATATTTTGCTGCTTGTTAATACGAATCTAATATACAGAACAAATTAAGAATTTGTCCGTCTGGTCAAGTCTAATGGTAATGGAACGTGGCGAGCCGGGGCCGAGCCAGAGCCACGGCCCAGGTCGGACTCGCACTTGCACCACGGACTGCGCCAGCCACCAGGTGACCAGCTCGCGTCGGATCATCGCTACGAGCAACGCAACGCAACGGCTAGGTGATCTCAGCTGTCAGGCGCTGATCCTGGCCCAACGACCCGTTCGTTTTTTTTTTTGTTCCGGGAACATTTATCTTTTCTCCTACGTAATATTTAGGATGTGTTCGGATACTAGTATCTCTAAACAGTCAAGCCAATTTTTTATTTGTCCATAAATTTAGACGTCAATTTGCCTATAAGCCAAATTTCAATATTCTTACAAAATTTGGCCAGCTAGGCTAACTGTAGTTGCTGGCCTCTCGTGAGCGCCAAAAGTGCTCGGATGAGCTATTATTAAAGGTTGTTTTTAGTTTCGCTTCTAGAAATTACATCTATTGTAAAAAAAAAGCATTATGCCAACTAAACCTGAAACTGCTTTCTTAGAAGCATATGTTTTCGCGTAATAAAATTTTTGCACCGTGATCCTGCTTTTGGTGTTCTACTTTATGCTTTTTCCAAATGGATGGAAACATAAATACTTTTTACATCTGTTTCAAGATAGATAAAGAGGTAGAGTTTTATTTTTTTTTCACAGCATACAGTTCACAACACCTTTTCTATATCCCACGACTCAACCAAACACAACTAAAGTGTTGAAGCTAAAGCAAGTTGTTATATGCCATAAGTACATACTCCCTCCATCCCTAAATAATTGTCGTTTTTTATTTTCGTACCATAAGTTTGACTAGATTTGTATGTCTAAATAAATTTATTATGAAAATAGATTCAACGATCTATCTAATGATATTAATTATGTAAATATTAATATTTTTTATATAAAATTAGTTAAATTTATTTCTCGAGAAGCTAGAACGACAGATATTTAGGGACGGATGGAGTAGTAGGATAAAAATATGCATTTAATGCTTGATAACCGAGGTTTGGTATGATTGCAATCAAATATCACCATTGTAGCCAAATTTCAGCCATGACTAGTTTGGCTACGACAAAATTTGGGTTGATACAGCAGAGCTACAAACCTTTCCATCCCATTTTATTGTTGCCATTCCATCCACATTCTGTTGGCTTTTTACAGTTTGCC